ATCACATAAGATTAGTCTCTCCTTTTTTTTTTTTTTTTTTTTTAAAAAAACTTATTTTACAATCTCTGCTCTATCTGTCTGCTCTGTTGGAGGACACCCCTACCCACAAGGCCAGCCTGAAAACTCACCTAAAAGTTTGCAAAGCAGATGTAGAATGGTTCTTATTATTCCAATAATTTTCCAGACTCTGTAAATTTGGTGGTACTTAATTAAATAATCTTTTATGGCATTACTAGTATGTCTCAAGAGAGAGGAACACCAGAGGTCCTTGGCTAGGCACACATATAATGAAAATATTTTTTCAACTTGGAACTTTTCCTGTAAAATATGCCATTTAAGTCAATCAGATTTGACACTTAGATTAGCAAACGGCAGCAATTTGCTTAGTAGTTCTCTTCTAAATTTTATCTCGACTTCAGAGGACACCAGTCCTTCATTACTACACTGATACCAATGTCCATACTAATAACTTTCACATTCACAGGGGCCTCCACCACCTCTCCTCTTTCCGCCTCATTAACAGGAGGTAGGGCTAGCACCCTAAGACTAATGCTCACAAAGACACCCTGATGACAACCTGGAGGAGGTGAAGGATGCCATTTCTGAACCTAGGAAACGGGGTGCAGCTCAGGTCAGTGGATGGACCACAGAAGAATAGTAAGACAAGCCCTATTTTTGTTGCAGAAATTTTAATTTAGTGTTTAGAAATAGTATTTTAGAGTAACTTTCTAAATTGTATTCTAACTTTTTCACTTAGTGATGCTAGCCTAGACCATAATTTAATGTGAATGCACATTATGTTAACATTTTCCCTGTACTAGAAGCAAGGAATACTAACTGCTTTACCAGATATAACAGTGAAGAAATCACAGCTGCATCCTATTAACCTTAATGACAAATAACCTTGGTTTGAGACCTTGCAAATCTCACTCTAAACTCCTTGTGACTCCACCTACTCTTTAAGGGCACGTGGTGCTTTTTCATTTGGGGTTCCTGAGCTATAAATGCCCACCTTCTCCACTAGGCAACAAGAGATAAGGATTAAAGTTTCTCAACCACAAGAGGAGACACCGAAAGATTAAAAAGCACATCAGAAACAGGCATTGGGACCAAACAGTAAGTGACCCCGGGAGGTTCAATGCACACAGATGAGTACGTATCACACGATGCTGGGAAGCCATGCACCATTTCAAATGATCTTGCCACACTAAAATGGAAGTCTACCAGTCAAAACAGACCACCAGAAGCTATCTAGCATTCCCGAGAACTTTCTAGCAAGACAAAACACCAGCAGCAGTAACACTGGGATTGTCTATATCCAGTGGGGGGCTAAGGTACCTCTGCCAGAGGTGCAGCATAACTGTGCAATGCCACAACACCAGTTTGCTAACCAAGCTGCAGTGCCTTGCTAAGTTGCACAGTAACCCTGACGCTAGTCCATCAGTTGTATGCAACTACCTTTTTTTTTTCTTTGTAAATAATACATAATGCAAAAGCTTTGTTTTATGGGATATATACAACAAAGCAAATATTCTGGTTTTAGTCCAGGTAAGCGTTTGAAATCAACAGAATGCAAGTGATAATGCATTTTTGGAAATTTCAATGTCCTCATGTGCCTCTAATGCCACCACCTCATGTAACCAATCATTCTAAAACTCTATGTGACAGCAGACAAAAATGTTGGGTATAGAAAGTAAAAGGCAAATGCTTCCCCTCTTCAACGGGGCTCACATAGGCACTACCTTCCCATCCAACTGAACACATCCCAGAGTATAAACGCAGCATCCACTTAACCCACATGAAGTACAGCATAACCACTGGCATTGTCTTTCCTCACAATTGTTTGAGGTTCTGGCCAGCTCCTGTGATACAACAGCCTACACAATTCACAGAATTCCATCATACTGATGGAAGACGGCAATTCATGCCAGAGCATACAGCATGCACCTTTGCAAGGCAACAGTGAAATGTGGGAAAAGTAGAGAAATAGGAGCTGTATGTTTTGTGTTTTTTTTTTTTTTGTTGTTGTTGTTGTTTGTTTTGTTTTGCTAAATGGTATCAGTGGACAATGTTCCAGTTCCACGTTCCAGTGTTCCATGTTCCAGTGCCCTTGCCAGTGTGCAGTGTGTTTTCACTACATTTGCCTGAATAATGCACATCCCTTGCATTTCTCTGCCTCCTTATTTCAGTGGGAAAGCTAAACAAATTAATAGCTGTTGTGACTAGGCAAATAAGGTTTTATGTGTTCATGCTTGTATTTGGAGACACCATGAACAACAGAATTAGACATATGTAAAACCTAAAAAAGAGCATTACCAGCTTTTATCAATACATTTAAACTAGCACATACCAGGGGAAAAAAAAAAGGCATCTATTTTATTTGCAATTTTTTTATATACATGTGCACATTTGTTATGTACATAAACTTGTTTACACAAATGTACTTGTCTTGCCAGTCAGCTGCTTGTGATATTTTTTAAACTACCTTCCATCCTCCTACTTCATATGAAAACTAAAACAAGAGACGCTAAAAACCCAGCCTCCCACGTGCACGTTGGTGTTGTTTAGTTAGATTTCAGCCTGCATTTGAAGACAACCCACAAGCCTAATTTATGAAGCCACCTTTTTTATGTTTCAAAATACACACTAATTCCTTAGTACGTCCAGTTGATTAAACACTCAGCTGAACAGCAGACAATCTCTTCACTGACAAATCACACTACCAGAATATTTCTTAAGAGGCATGACCAACACCTTTAAACCTCCTTCAAAAAAACAAAACAACAGAAAACAAGTATTAATTGCATGGCTTTATTTACCTATTTGGGTATTGTTAGATCAATATAGTTGTTTAAACTTCTGATTCATTTTGAGGTTTCAGTAGACAAGAATATATATCCAGTCAATTCCTGTACACAGCATCAACCCTGCCATCTCAGCCACTTGTAGTTGGTTTTCCATGAAAATACATTGATCAGTAGAAAAGATACAAGGAGAACTGGAGAACAGACATTAGAAATTGTACCCTACATTTCAGCCAATACCCTATATGCGCTACAGCTGCATCCCAAAAGACACTGCCATGCTGATACACTATCCTTCAGATGATATCAGCAAGGCTCCCACTAGTAGATCATTAATGATCAAATGTAATTTTTCACACAAGAGCAAAATATGCAGCTGAAAGCACGCAATCAATGGAAAATCTTCAAATAGCTCAGACTGTTGGAATCTTCACTTGAAAATGAAATTGTTAAGGTAAATAAAAAGCATTTTTACAAAAATCTGTAACGGAGTTCATATGTGAGTTGTAGGAAACTATCAAAGTAGATAACGTAATCCTTTTGATAATTTTGATGTAACATTTGCAAAGAGAACCACTGAGCAAGGCAAAGCTAGCTGGCCACCTCGAAGCATGCCTGACTACACCATAATCAACACCTGACTGTTGCAGTCACCTCTACAAACGCAGAAATGACTTTTCCATTCACACTCAAGAACCAAAAGTGAAACCAAAAAAAAAAAAACTGCTTTGGAAAACCAAATTCATTTTCTTTCTTTTTTCAGAAACACACAAGTTCAAAAGTATTACTGTTTCTAGAATTTAGGGTCTTGGTAACCATTAGAGGTTTAACTGTTCTTTGGTTACAGTTACCTCTTTCACTTTAGAATTCATCTTAATGTGAAATAAACCAAACACATTAATATTAGGTTATACTAAATAGCAAAGCTGCTTTTAGAACTATATTTTAATATAATTCCACTTTTGATCCAAAACTATGAGTAATGAATAAAACCGACTTGCTGAATCTAATTCCCTAACAAAACAGGATTAAGATGTCTAAATGTGTTACAACAAGATTACCAGGCATCTTGCTGATTACCTAGCAAATTAGTGGGGGGGAAAAAAAATAATCAGAATTATTAGACTTCAACAGTGTCTCAAGAAAATAAAGCACAAAATCAAAATCAACTTTCAAAATGCCTGAAATGTACAGATCAGAAAAACTAGTTACACAAGACAACCCATCTTACATTCTACATCTCCACGTGCTGAAAACCATTCAAGTCATTTTTGTAGTTATGAAACTACAATTTTACTCCAAGTGGGAGTTACCCAGCCTGCTACTGCAAATCAAGGTGCTCTTCAAAAAAAATAGTAAGAACATTATACGTGCATTGTGTATGTTTCTTTCAGTTGCCTTGAAGCATTTTAATAGAATAAGGCCTTGATTCCACTATACAAACATGTTTCATATGGATACTCATTATCCTGGAGCCTCCTACAGCAACTTTTGGAAGCACGTCAAGGGTTATGCCCACTTCTGGTGGGATGAAGAGTTTTGCTTACCCTTATCAAGGCAAAAAAGTAAAAACCCATCCCACGCTTAACAGACAGAACCCGTTTGGCTTGGGAACTAAAGATACTGAATCACCGAGACCTCAGAGCAAAACTATCAAGTTTTCAAGTGCTAACGCTTGTCAAGTTCTGTAAGATAGAGTGAACCTAAAGGAGGAGCTGCAGATTGGTCACGACAGCTCAGAAGCCTGCCATGAGCGCGGAGGCAACTTGATGCTAGCGCAAACTGGCCATGGCCAGGTTCTAACAGAGAACTCATCGGGGTCAGAGTAGCCCTGGCTTTGCTAAAACCACTTAAGAGGATCAAAAAAAAAAATAACAAGAAAGGGCACGCCCAACACCAAACAAAGGGGGAAAAGAGGAAAATCCCCCTCCCCTGGCTCAGAAAACACACGCCGCGGGGTTAAAACCGCCCCGGGGCCGCTCCTCGCCGCCTCAGGGCGCCGGCCCGGGACCCCCGCCAGGCCAACGGCCGCCAACGGTCGTTAACGGCCGCTACCGGTCGCCGACTCCTCGAGGCTTGGTGACGGGAGGGGGGGGGAGGCGGGGCGCCCACACCTACCTCCACCGCCGCGCTCCGCTTCCGCCCTCCCGAAATGGCCGCCCGGCTTCCGCCAATGAGAAGCGCTCCCCTCCCCTCCGCCCCGCCTCCCTGCGGCCCTTACGCCAATCGGCGCCCGCTCCCCGCTCCGCGCGGCGTCGCCCGGAGGAGCGCCGCGACTTCCGCCCGGCCGCCGCCGGAAGTGTGATGTGGCCGCGAGCGGGTCGCCATGGTAAGCGCGGGGCGGCGGGCGGGCGGGCGGCCTCTCCCCTTATCCCCCCCCCCCAGCACTCGACGGCGATAAAATTCAGGGGCTTGTGCTCGGGTTAGAGCTAAAATCTGCTGCGATTTAACCTTCTAACAGCCCAGGTGAAGTGCTGCGGGTGCACGCCGTTAAGATTTAAAAGCAGAAGCAGCGGAGCCGGAGATGAGCGCCTGGCCCGCTACAAGCGAGACGCGGAAGCGTTTGGAGCGCCTGTGAAAATAAAGGGGATAAAATAAATCGGGGCTCTGTAACCTGCGTAGCTTTGGCCTCGACGCCCTTCGTTGTAAGGTGACCGTTTCCAGGCCGGTTGGCAGGTTGCTGCTCGTCAGGAGTGGTGCGTGCTGGGCGGCTGCCCCCCGAGTCTTTTTTTTTTTTTTTTTTGGCAATCCCCACGTTTGTTGAAGGATTTAAAAGAGCAAAACCTCCGGAGCTTTCTCAGGGTTTGGTTCAAGGAAAGGTCCTAGGCCGCAGGGCTTGTCACCGAGAGGAAGTTGCTTGCCAGGGGCCCTTGGCAGGTCTTTTAGGTGAACCTGTGCTAAGCTGCGGCCTCGAGCAGCAAACAAAGGGTTTTCCTGACAAGAGGCATCAATTTTCTCAGAATACCCAAAACATGCATACATAAAATATGTGCCAGGTGGGAAGACAGTGAAGCCATCACCTCCGATTTGTGCCTTAGAAAGGTAGATACCGTGGCAGTACAGCACCCCTACCTCACTGTGCTTCATAGCACTTCAGAGGAGTTGAGGGTGTAGAACAAAAGCAAGAGGAGCTCCATGATCAGTAAGACACTACCTTGTTAGCACTTAAATATAATAACGCTAGTGCTTATAGTTAGGCACAAGATTATGGCATGCAAGATTCTTGAAATTTTTTTTTGTTTGTTTTTAATCCATATTGATTTCAAGAGATTAGGCTGTATTGTTCAAGGAACCTGAAACGTGCTAGGATTTCTTAATGAGATTTTTCTCGTTATATAGAGGTGAAGGTAAGATTCCTCAGTCATGTAGAGTTTGAATTTCCTCAGGGAAACAGTAAGCCTCGTGGCCTGATCAGGATTTTGGGTTATTTATGGTGCTGCTTGCTGCCTGTGGTGTCATGGCTCTGCAGAAAAATCTCACCTCCTGGGATTAACAATCATGATCTTAGATTAACAATCTTCCACATGCACACTTGACTGTGAGATAGGAAACAACTGGAAGAAAGCAGAGCTGTCCCTCTGATTTGTTCTCTTTCTCCAAAGTAAATGAGCTGCAACTGTGACAAACTATCTCTGTGAGTAGCAAGATTTCCGAAGGACTACATCCCTGGAACTTTCCATCCCATTTTCTCCCAGGGTTTCGTACCACATAGTTACTGCACAAGTCCAAACTTCTGGGTGAGTGGCCACCTGCTGACAACAAAATATATAGAAGCAGGCTTCTATCCATCTAATCCTGTATCTACAAGCACAACTTTGTGTGTTTCTGTTTACTGCCAGTGGGTAGAAAAAACCTTGTAGCTTAAAGCAACTCTGAAAGGGGGCTGAAGGTGCTCAATGGATTAAACAAAAGTACTGGAACTGGAAGGGATGCAGTATAATGGCAGCTGCACGGTTTATTTAAACGCAGAACACATATTGCTTAAAACAATAGCACTGACTTCCACTAATCAGTGAGTCATTTTATCCTGTCAACTTTTGAAATTTTATGTTTGAAAACTCAACAAAACTTTGTTGGGGTTAAAAAATAAACTATACGTGTCAGGTTTGGTTGGTGGGAAATATGAAGAAGCCTGAAGTAATTTTTAAAAATGAGCTTTCACCTGTTGAATGGAAGTCTTCACTTTTCTTTGTAGAAAAAATGTGCAATTGCACCCAAGCAGTGTGAATAAATATACAGAAACTTCAGAGTAGTTTTATGACAATAATTGTGATTGGGTGATGCAGAAAGTAATGAATTGCAGAAGACTTTACAAAGATGGCTCCTTCGCCATCACCCTCTGGTGAGGACAGGTACGGGACTTCAAGCCCCATCCTGTTGCAGAAAAATTGATTTGGGAATTGTCCATGGGGACAAGCCTTTTTATCACAACCTTTGTTACTAACTAAGGATGGTGTTTACAGGAGAAAGGAGAATTGCTCATATAAGCAATTCCTTAGTAAATATTGATCCAAGCCAATATCTTGGATATGAACACACCAAAATCTAAGGCAGTATTTTGTGAAAGAGCTTTCAGGTGTCTTCAAAGTTTTGTGTCTGACTTATTGGAAGCTACAAGTCCTGATTGAAATTTTCTTATAGCTTTGCTTTTATAATGGGCTAAAGAGAGATAGGATCAGAAAAGATGTCCTAGTTCATCTTATGTGTGGACATATACATGTCTTTGTATTACGAGTTTATTTTGGAGCAATGACAGACAACTTCGTTCATGTCAGTTTTATATTTCATCAGGCATGAAATGTTTTGAATACAAGTGATTAGAATTTCAGGGAGTTTCAGCTGCAGTAGAAAAAAAAAAAACTTTCATCTGACAGAGTCTTTGCTGCCCAGCTAACATGCTTTTGCAAGGAGTCTGAGCATTTTCCTCTTAAGTAGTAATGCAGAAAGATGCTGGGACCTCCTTTGCTGCTGTTCATGCAACTCAGACCCTGCACTCAGTATGTGTCAGCCCTGTGCCAGCCCCTAGGAACGGAAGCAGATCCTACTAACTGAGGAGAAAAGAAGAACCTGCTATCCATGCACCTCGCCTCCCGTCAGAATAGCAAGGTTGTCAGAGAACTGGAATGGAGAGGGGAAAGGAGAAATAGTATGGTTGGATAGGGGCTGTGAAGTGATGTCTTTATTGCACTGGTATTGGTGTTTAGTAAACCTAATGCCTTCTGTAGTGGCACAAGTAAATTTTAATGCTGCTGTGGAGTAGGAAATCTGTAGTGAATTACTGCTTGAAATGGTCACTGTAAATACTTCTGTGTCGGCATATAAGATGTGAAAATATACCATTAATATTTTTCTTCTCTGATTATGGAACAGAGGACACAATTTATTCTGCCGTTGTAAGATACATCTCTTTAATGCATCTCTTAATTTGACTTGGGAGGAGTAGGATGTAGGGAAGCTACTGGTACAAATTTTACCAGAGACCAATAGCGAAGGAATGACACAAGTTGAGAGAAACAATTTCCTTGCTTAGTGCCAAACAGTTCTTACTAAGCCTTTCTGGCAATCCATCTACTATTAAACATCTTTAATAACATGAAAAGGGTGGAGGAGGTCACCTTTATTCTGTAGGCTATTTCAAATTAGTAATGAACTGCCTATGCACTCTATATTTCCAGCTCAAGATCCAAACCCTGAGGTTTTATTTAGAAAAAGAAAAAAGTCATGGAATAGTCAGTGTGTCAATGTCATTTTTCGATTGGCTTCAGCTTCCCCACGCTCATCCACTGCAGTCGCTGTAGTGCTGCTGCACAATGCTTGGAGTTCAAACCCACCAGAAATTTTCAGTTTCAGCTTTGTAACACAGGAATCAAAGTGGAGCCAGCTGGCATTTGCCTTACAGATGCTGAAAATCTAATCCATGCGTCTGGTCTGTGCTAGACAAGGGACACAGGAGGTGTGGGAGGCCTGCCCATCACCAGTGGGCATCAAGACACTTGGCAGAACTTTTCCGTATTCCTTGAGTAACTTTTACTTACTTCTACCTCTTTCATTACTTTTACCTCTTGTGAAAGTTGTAGGATATGCCTTTTATTCAGACTTAGGAACAGGAAATAGAGACTGTCCCATTTTTGCATGCAGTGTCTTGAGCTTTTTGTAAGGATGCTCAGCAGGCAAATTCAGCTTTGAACTGCACAGGATTTCTGTGGGGCCAAGAGGCATTCAGGCAAATAGTGCATTTTCCTGTTGTGCTGTGGAGCCATATCTAGTTAGTTTTTGACCCTTGCTTGTAAATTTGTACCTTAATAATCAAACGCTTACAGATAGGATGTTAGCTATATGCCTGATTTTAAAGTATTAAATATAACAATAATTCGGTATCTTTCATTTTGAGAGCTTTGCCTCTCTTCTGTGTACATCCTCAAATTCCTGTTGCAGTTTGCGTTGCAAATCTGCTTTACCTCTCACACGGTTTGAACACTTTTCATTAGAGTCAGAATATCATCCAACTCAAAATGTGCTGGCATGTTAGAAATACTCTCAGAGCTTCCACTCACACACTTATTACTGTTTCTTCTGTTTCTACTGTTAAGATTCTCTGGTAAATTTGTGTCAAACAAAGCAATTTGTTGTGCAACTTCAGAAAGGGGAGTTATCTAATTTGACAGACACTATGCAGCTCAGTTATAAAAAGGACAAAGGCAGTACAGGTATAATCAGCCATGCTGCTTCTCTGAACAGCAAGAGAAGCCAGAACTGATTATGGGAGAAGATGTCTTTTATGTGGATAATTTTTCTCCTTCTGTTCAGGTACACTCTAGAAGTCTCTAATGGGCAGGTTTTTAGGGCAGAAGTGGCAAAAGAGCTACAAGTCAAGATTTTATGTCCACTTTGAGAGCTGTGTGGAAACAGCTAACGAGTACCTATTCTACTTACAGTTCCAGAAAGTACCATTAGCTCCCTGCTACTCTGGAGAACATGCTTAATTTCAGCTTCTTGAAATTGGATTATAGAAATTATTCCTATTATCAAATGGTGGAAGAATGTGGAAAAAAAATCTGGTAAATTGCAAACTATAATCTGCGAAAAAGATTTGGAGGAAAAGACATCATGAGCTTTTGCTGCCACATCGAGCATAAAATATGTTTTGTGAATAAATGCATAGACAACACCCGTGTTACAACACCAATATGAAAAGTTTAACATTGTAACTTCAGTTTGCTTTTTGGTTTAAGATGTTTGTTTTAAAGTTGAGCAGTTTTATGGGAGAGGACACCTGTTTCTGTCTGCTAATTGTTTAAAAAATTGTTCATATCTTAAAACAGATATATT